TATATCTATAATATATATATATATATATATATATATATATATATATATATATATATATATATATATATATATATATATATATATATATATATATAAAAGTGACAAGTAAGTCATATCTCGAATACGCATGCGTACTACATGTCGTAGTTTTGAAGCAGCGTAAAGAGCCATGAACGGACTATGACTTTAGTGTGTCCTACTCACATTAGCAGCTGTGGACAGCTGTTTCGCCCTGTTGGGGCTCATCAGCACAGCGTAGCTCATGGAGGAGCTGCACATCCAGATATTTATATATTCATCAGAGTCCGACATTTTGAAGTGCTCCAGACTTGACCAATTGAATGCCGATATACTTGCTAAAAATACTCACTTTGCAGAGACTACATCATAAAATTATCGATTTATGCATACCAATGTCAAAAAATCCAAACTTGAAGCATAAAATATTAGTTTGCAGGAAAAACACTTTTTTGCAAGAAAAATCACAGTAATCTGCCAGTCGCTAATTTTTTTCTTTCGCCCTTCCCGTGAGCCTCTACGCGCCCACTTCTGGCCTCAGCCCGCGCGCCCGCTCTTGTCTTCAGCCGCCTAAGAATTGCCTGAAGTATTTACATTTAAAAGCGACTGGGGACGAGTCTAGACCATGTATCATATCATAATGTACTTTCTCCAATAAAAAAGTAGGTCACCGTTTTCCGATATGATGGCTTTTGTGGCTGATAAAGGCTAGATAAATGGTGACGTCAGGTTGTCATGTTATTAATATTATTATTTCATGTTTATAAAATGACACATTTTCGCTTATGAAATGAATTACAATGTGTTTACAAATTTAAGAATTCGAAGTTTTTAAAATAACATAGAAATCATATAAGTCGTAGAAATTACAAATTATAACTAAGCTAAAAGACGTTGTGACTAATTAACTATTACTATAATTTAAAAAAAATTTAAGGTACGCTTTGGGTACATTTGGTTAGTTATCTATTCAGCAACACTCGCCTCATCTGTTCAGTTCAACGAAGTTATTGGGATGAAAATATGGGTCTGAACAGATATGGAAAGGTTGCGTTGCAACAGAAGCGCCCGAACTGGACGAATTTCTGGGTGAGCGGGTGGGTTGTTTTTGCCTTTCGGCCAGATTTGTGTCTCCTGACGGAATTCACGCCAGCTGGTGCAATTTCTGCTGGGTGCGGTCATTTTATACATTGCCTGTATCACATGATACCTAATATACATATATATCACATAATTATATCACATTTCCTTTTACATATGATTACGAGTATTGCGAATGGTAATCTATTAGCACACACGCCTCATCTGTTCAGTTCAATGAAGGTATTGGGATGAAAATATGGATTCCTCTCTTACACTTTTCTCCCAATCGGTCCTATCGCTGTTCGAAGCAAACTTGGTTGGCTCTTAACGTGTCACAGTGAGGGATATGTGTAGAGTGATGATAAAATCACGTCAAATCTGATCATTGCGGGAGAAAGTGATGGCTTCCTTGCTGTCAACGAAAGAGATTCCTTAACCGATAGTCTGAAGCAGTTGTGGAAAACGGAATCAATCGGGATTTTCAATCCAGAATCAAACGATGACCTGCAACGAAACAAGTTTGTCGAACACATTCAGTTCATTGGCACGCGATACGAAGTAGGATTACAGTGGAAAGATGGGTGTCGACCAGACTCAAACCATTACGGACTTTGCCGTGATAGACTTCGGTCATTACAGAAGAAATTAACCAAAGAGCCTGAATTGTTACAAGAATATGAGAATATCATTAACGAACAGAAACGAAATGGTATCGTGGAAGAGGTTCTGAAGGCGAAACAATGACAACAATGGCAAAGACAACGTTGGAGTGCATTACATGCAGGGCCGTCCCCAGGAAATTTTTTAGGGGAGGTGTAAGGTCATTTTAACCGTGACGAACGAGCTTGCACCGACCACCTGCTAGCCATGGAAGCTTGTGGAATTTCCGATGGAGGTCAACTACGGAGCTATTTTTAGATTAAGGGGCCTATAGCGAACGTCGAAGGCGTGAGTTTGTCAGGGGGATCCGGGGGAATGCTCCCAGGGAAAAAATGAAGACTATAGATTAGTAGGAAAATATCTGATCTACCCTAAGTCTTGGCGAGATTTACTCATAGTTTATAACTAATGAACCACGAAATGGTATGCATTATTATAGTGTTGGAAAACCCAGTACAATATTCTATCTTCGAGTTTAAACAAGAGAATATTAAACATTTCATTCAAATAGCGCAACACATAAATGCATGAATGAGTTAACTCAGGAGTATTGTACGTTGATTGAAATGTTTTGAATAATAAATAATTTCATAATAATTTAAAAGCAGCAATTGATAAGAATTTTCCTTTTGTAAAAATGAAAAACAAATCCTTTGATCATGAAAAAAGTCCCTGGATGACAGGTGGTGTTTTTAGGTCCATATCTAAGAAAAATCGGCTATATAAAACTTTTTTAAAAAAACCATCTCATAGAAATGAAACAATGTACAAAAAATACAAAACAAACTGAATCATGTTATTAAAACTGCGAAAAAGTTATTATGAAAACCAATTTTTAAAGTACAAAAACGATATGTATGATATGATATCCCATTGACATTGCTAACAAATTTAATGAATAATTTGTTAAAATTGATCTCAACTGGCGAAAAAATATCCGAAGAACAACAATATATCACATGAAAGGTACCTTAGTGGTAATTATGTCGAAATTATGTTCTTTGAGCCTGTAACAGAATATGATTTACTGACTGAAATTGATAACTTAAATGAAAATAAAAGCGCAGGCCACGATGAAATAAGCGCCAGGATGATAAAAACAATAGGCGAAGAAATTGTTAAACCTCTAACACATATTTATAATTCAACGTTTTTAACTGGAAAAATTCCAAATTTTCTAAAAATAGCTCTAGTGACTCCTATTTTCAAAGCAAATGAAAATAATCTATTTGAAAATTACAGATCAATGTCGGTTTTGACATGTTTTTCAAAATTACTAAAGGAACTTATGTACAAACGACTATTTAACTATGTAGAAAAACATAATATTTTATCAAATGATCAGTATGGTTTCGAAGAAATAGATCTACAGAAGACGCCATACTAAATCTAACCGATAAAATTTCAAAAGCTTTAGACGAAGGTAAATACACAATGGGAGTTTTCCTTGACCTTTCTAAGGCCTTCGATACGGTAAACCATGAAATTCTCTTCTCCAAACTACAACAATATGGGATCAGAGGAACATGTCAACAATGGTTTATGAATTATTTAAACGGAAGAACTCAACTAGTAAAAGTTAAACAGCACAGGTCATCTGAAATGAATGTTACTACAAGAGTCCCACAGGGTTCAATTCTTGGTCCATTGTTATTTCTTTTAAAATTAATGACATTGAGAACTGTAGTGATATTATTTCTTTCGTTTTATATGCTGATGATACAAATGCTTTCTATTCAAATTATTGCTTGAAAACAATATCTAGTACTATACAAAATGAACTTGATAAGATAGTTCAATGGCTCAATGCGAATAAATTATCAATCAATGCATCCAAAACAAAAAATGTCATTTTTAAGTGCAAAAATAAATCACAGGATTCACAGATAACAATAAAAATAAATAATGATATAATTAAACAGGTGCCTTCCTGTAGACTCGATGTCTTAAACAACCATAGGATTCCCACAGATTAAAAAGTAAATAAATATCTATTTTGATAACAGACTCAATCACCATTACAAGAAGAGCATTCTTAGCTCCCTAGTACGTATGCGCATTTATACCTACTCCTAACTTAATTAACATAATTATGCAAATACTACATCCCTCCTTTCTTAGACAGTTCATTCCTAATAAATGGGGTACATCCTCGGGTAGAAGAATTTGCATCACAGACTACGTCATCAGTTAGTTATAGCGATTAGTTTTGAGGTTAGGGTTAGGGTAAGGGTTAGGGTTAGGGTTAGGGTGAGGGTTAGGGTAAGGATTAGGCTTAGAGATAGGGATTTGGTTATATCTGACGCCACAAACAACACAACTAGCCGATCACGTGATCACTTCTCCTCTACCCGAGGAACTACCCAATAAATGTCACTTTAAGTAAAGATTATAGTAAAGTCTCTAATCAAATATTAATGTTAAATATTAATGTCTCTAATAAATATTAAATATTAATGTTTGAATGTTAATAAGCTAAGCAAATAATTATCTAAATACTTATCTACAATCGACAACACAATCCTTCAATTTATCTGGTAATCTTTTTGTTCTACTCGGCATAACTCTTCCACCTTCATCTTCACCCAATCTCCTACTATCCAAAAGTTTTGGTTCACTTATCGAAGACTCCTGCAATATTGACTCTTGAGTGTTTACCTCATTCTCTTCTGCATCGGGTGTTATCAGTTTCTTGAGATGCGTAATGTTCCGCTTCTATTGCACCCCGGTATCCGCTTCAACTAAAACACTGTTCCCATTTTTCTGTAGAACTCTGAATGGCTCTGGATTAAAGAAAGTTGAAAGTTTGTTTTTCTTGTCCTGTTTCATCAACACGTTATCACCGGCTTGGATATTACTTTCAATCTTACTTATTAGCATAGATCTTCCCTTTTTCTTTCCTTTCTGCATCTCGATCTTTATCCTCTGACTCACTAGTGAATTCTCCAAGTTGGGGGAAGTTTAGTGCGATAATTCCTCCTGTACAGTAGCTCTGTAGGTGACACTCCCGTAGTCGTGTGGGGTGTGCTACGATACATCATCAGAAATCGGTCTACTTCCAATCTCAGATTCCGCCCTTCGGTCTGTGCGATACGTAGCCTTTTCAAAATACTACGGTTCTGTCGTTCAATCTTCCCATTCGCTTGTGGCCACAGAGGTGTGGTCATCTGCTGCTCAATCCCATTTTCCACCAAGAAATTCTTGAAACACTCACTGATAAATTGAGGTCCATTATCAGTTCTAATAGACAAGGGCAGTCCATGTGTAACCAAAATCCTAGACAATATAGAAACCAACTTCTCGGCTGTGGTTGATTTGGTGAACTCTAATAAAAAAACGACTATAATAGTCTACAACAACAAATATGTAGTCCCCAGAAGGTAAAGGTCCTAACAAATCACACACAAGGTGTTCCCATAGTGCATTCGGAAGTTCAATGCGTGCCATAGGTTCATGTTTGGTTGGGTTCGATGTTAGTTGACACCCAAAACATTCTCGACAAACTTTCTCGGCTTGTCTGTCAATTCCCGGCCACCAGACCTTACTTCGAAGACGCGGTTTCATTGCTACTATTCCAGGATGTCCTTCATGTCTCTAAGGTTTTGGGGTACTACAATCCTTATACCACGTAAAACCAGTTGTCCAATAGCACACAGTTCTCTCCAAACTGGCAAATATTCCTTATGTACGAGGCAATCCCACTTACCACTCATAATACATTCACGTACAGATTGTAACTCTAGATCATGTTCAGACTCTCTCCCAATTTCACGAGTTGTCATAGCAACCGGTGTTGCCTCTCTAGTTACAAACTTGACATATTCATCTCATGCACTGACTCAACAAGTATCAGACTCAGGTCTTAACAGTCTCGATAATGGATCTGCTATGTTCTTAGGTCCTGGTAAATACTTAACCGTAAATGTATAGGGTTGTATCCTCAAAAGCCATCTCACAATCCTAGCACATGGCTTAGACTTGGGCGAGAAGATAATTCCAGGGGCTTATGATCTGTAAGAAGCTCAAACTCAGCCCCATAAAGGTATGCATGAAACCTTTCATAAGACCAAACAATTGCTAAGGCCTCTTTCTCCGTTTGGGAGTATCTACGCTTCACATCACTTAAGCTACGGCTTGCATAATTGATAATTCTATGCTCATTCCCTTGTTTTTGCACCAGAACAGCCCCCAACCCAACAGGACTAGCATCTGCGATTACAGTAGTTTTTGCTTTTTATCAAAATACCCAAGGGTTTCGGCACATGTTAATCGTTTCTTTAATTCGTTAAAAGAGTTCTGTTGATCTATACCCCAAACAAATGGTTCCTTGGCTTTTGTCAACTTCCGCAAAGGTGCAGAAACTGTTGCCAAATCTGGAATAAAACGGGCAGTAGTGTTAACCAATCCCAGAAAACTACGAACTTCCCCTGCTTTCCTAGGTTCGCGTGCTTCAGCAACTGCCCTGACTTTGGCCTTTGTAAGACCAGCACCATGCTCCGAAAGTGCATGATCCATAAACTCCAAGTGTGCCATCTTGTACTGACACTTATCCCGATTGAACGTTAAACCTCTTTCATTCAAAACTTGGACCACTTTCTCAAATCTTATGTCATGTTCTTCCTCTGTTTCCCCATGAATAATTATATCATCGAGAATATTATGTGCTCCCTCACATTCTTGTAAAACTTGCTGCAAGATGTCGTTCTCGCCTCACGCCACTATTAGCCTGACGCATATCTACACACAGTCGTATATCATCCCTTTTTGGGATCACCACGACTGGTGACACCCATGAGCTAGGTCCACTAACCTCTTCAATGATATCCAATTCCAAAATTTATCTAACTTTTTACTTAATTTATCCCTTAAATGGTATGGTACACGACGCATAGGCTGAGCGATTGGTTCAACTGTATCATCAATAGGAATTTTCAGTTGAAAACCCTTCAGTTTCCCAATTCCTTCACAACACCCGGGAAACTTGTTGAAAATGTTAGCTATACCTTGAGGTTGTTTTGTATCAACACTGTTACTAATAGTATGTACGTTTTGTCCCAATTTGAGAACCCCTAAATTCGAAGCAGTTGCTCGTCCCAGCAAGGCTTATCCCGAGCCCTCGATCACTATAAATTCAACATTATTCAAACTGGTTTTTCCCACAGTGACATTTGCTGTAAATTTCCCCAAAACAGGTAAGGGTTCCTCACTGCCATATGGATAGACATTTGGCTTACACTTAGTGGATTCACATCTAATATTTTCTAACTTCAAGTGTTCCCACAAGTTCTGATCAATAATGTTACAAGTTGCACTTGAATCAATAATCATTTGCATAGGTTTCCCCCCAACATCAACAGTGATGTTAGCACTTGTATCATTACTATTTCTTACAGTAAAAGCATACCTGTCACCGTCCTCAACTTGTCTGACACGCTTGGGCTTCTCTTCTTTTCTGAAATTATTTCCACTTGGTTTACTTTTACAAATACGTTCAAAATGATCTTTCCCTGTACATTTCCTGCAGGTTTGACCCCATGCTTTACAATTTTTATCCATCGACTTGTGTCCTTCCCTTCTACATCGATAGCATTTGACTTTATGTATGCCAGTCTTGTCCTGCTGTCTTCCTGCTTTCTTCCAAACGCGATTTACTTCCTTTCGTCCCTCAATATCTCCAGCCTGTTTTTCTGCATTCTCCATGGCACGAGCCATATCTCTTAGCTGAGTCAAGTTTAAGTCTCCTTTTTGTAACAGCTTTAGTCTCAAGTTGTGCGAAATACACCCACTGATCACTTGGTCTCGAATTTCCTCCTCACAGGTCTCGCCAAATTCACAAGTATGAGCCTTTTGTCTTAATCTTGTTATATACTGTTCGACTGTCTCTGATACGGACTGTTTCGTTTCTCGAAATACCAGTCGTTCGTATGGAACTTAGCCTGCGGTTTAAAGTGCTTGTTTAACGCACTTATCGCTTTTTACGAAAACATTCGTTCCCTCTGTTTCGTCCGGTAAGGTAAAGAAAATGTTCTGCGCGCTCATTCCGGCTGTTTGAAGCAACAGAGCTTTCTTTTGCCCATGATTTGTGATCCCTTTTCCTTCGGCAAATAGTTCAAACGCTCGAAGCCAACGCTCCCATCAAACGGACCCAATCCGTGTACATCAGTTAACAATTTAGCCGCCATCCTCGTCGCCAAAAATGTAGACTCGATGTCTTAAACAACCAAAGGATTCCCACAGATTAAAAAGTAAATAAATATCTATTTTGATAACAGACTCAATCACCATTACAAGACGAGCACTCTTAGCTCCCTAGTACGCATGCGCATTTATACCTACTCCTAACATAAAAAAACATAATTATGCAAATACTACACTTCCGTAAAGTTCTTAGGTGTCACATTCGATCAAAAGTTGACATGGACTAACCACATCAACTCAGTTTTAAAAAGCATAACTAAATCTACAGGTATGATTGCTAAATTAAGACATTATATAAATAAAAACACTTTGAAATTGATTTACTATGCATTGGTCTATCCATACCTTACGTACGGAAATCTAGTTTGGGGTAATACATATCCAACACGATTACAGAAGTTATTAAAGATACAAAAGAAAATTGTCCGACTAATGTGTTTTAAATCTTATACAGATCATTCAGAACCTTTATTTTTTAATTTTAAAATCTTGAATATCTACAAAATTAATGACCATCTTTGCAGTCTATTTATGTGTTGCTGCATGAATTATGATAAAAATTTTCCAAACCTTTACATTTATTACTTTATTCAAAATAAAGAATTGCATAATTATAATACGCGAAACTCTTCAAAATTGCACGTTCGTTATAAAAGGACGAACTATCGTGTTCACACTGTTTTTAACAAAGGAATTTCCATATGGAATTGTCTTGATGAAGAAATTAAAAATCAAAAATTGAATTTTTCCTTTAAGAAAAAAGCAAAATTAAATTACTTGTTAATATAAATATTGTTAGCTAAAACATATATGATATGTTTGCGATGTTACTCTGAGTGCATATCCACACCGGGCGAGCTTGAAAAATATGCCCGGTCACGGTGGGATTCGAACCTACGACCTTTGGAATACTAGCCCAATGCTCTTCCAACTAAGCTACGCGGTCAGGACGGTTCGAGTAAGTGATATTTCGGAACAGAATCTAGTTCCTTCAATACCAATGTATTCTAGTAATATGAATTTTTTCTGTGTTGGTGCAGTGTACTCAGGTGAATATGATATTTGTGGTGTTACTCTGAGTGTATATCCACACCTGGCGAGCTTGAAGAATATGCCCGGCCACGGTGGGATTCGAACCTACGACCTTTGGAATACTAGCCCAATGCTCTTCCAACTGAGCTACGCGGTCAGGACGGTTCGAGTAAGTGATACTTCGGAATAGTATCTAGTTCCTTCAATACCAATGTGTTCTAGTAGTATGAATTTTTTTTTCTGTGTTGGTGTTGTGTACTCAGGTGAATAAAATGTTTGCGATGTTACTCTGAGTGCATATCCACACCAGGCGAGCTTGAAAAATATGCCCGGCCACGGTGGATTCGAACCTACGACCTTTGGAATACTAGCCCAATGCTCTTCCAACTGAGCTACGCGGTCAGGACGGTTCGAGTAAGTGATATTTCGGAACAGTATCCAGTTCCTTCAATACCAATGTATTCTAGTAATATGAATTTTTTTCTGTGTTGGTGTAGTGTACTCAGGTGAATATGATATTTGTGGTGTTACTCTGAGTGCATATCCACACCGGGCGAGCTTGAAAATATGCCCGGCCACGGTGGATTCGAACCTACGACCTTTGGAATACTAGCCCAATGCTCTTCCAACTGAGCTACGCGGTCAGGACGGTTCGAGTAAGTGATACTTCGGAATAGTATCTAGTTTCTTCAATACCAATGTGTTCTAGTAATATGAATTTTTTTTTCTGTGTTGGTGTTGTGTACTCAGGTGAATAAAATGTTTGCGATGTTACTCTGAGTGCATATCCACACCAGGCGAGCTTGAAAAATATGCCCGGCCACGGTGGATTCGAACCTACGACCTTTGGAATACTAGCCCAATGCTCTTCCAACTGAGCCACGCGGTCAGGACGGTTCGAGTAAGTGATACTTCGGAACAGTATCTAGTTCCTTCAATACCAATGTGTTCTAGTAATATGAATTTTTTTCTGTGTTGGTGTTGTGTGCTCAGGTGAATAATGTGTTTGCGATGTTACTCCGAGTGCATATCCACACCGGGCGAGCTTGAAAAATATGCCCGGGCTAGTATTCCAAAGGTCGTAGGTTCGAATCCCACCGTGGCCGGGCATATTTTTCAAGCTCGCCCGGTGTGGATATGCACTCAGAGTAACATCGCAAACATATTATTCACCTGA